AATTCATATCATAATGTTAAAAAAAATTGAATTATTGGGTGTACAACTAAGCTTTATTAGTCACAAAAGCTCGCCGATATTAGTAAACCCTTCAGTGATAATCGAACTCTAGATGTCATGTTTTTCATATTATGTCAATTTATTTTTAATTTACTTAATATTTAATATTTTAATAATTTACAACCTCTTTTTTCTTTAATATTCAAACAAAGCCACAAAATTTATCTAGATAAAATAGGAATCGCACTAATTTGTTGATATTGTGCCATAATTCGATAACTATTTAAATACACAATATATTAATTGATATTAAAATAGAAAATGACATTTATAATACTTGTTAATCATATAACTAATTACCTTGAATTATTTATTAAATCATGATGTTAAAGGAATTAAAATGTTTGTGATCCAAATTAAATTACAATATTATAGGAATACGTGTTTCATTTGTGATTTTGGTGTTTTAACATTGTTGGTTTCTTTACTGGATCAGAGATCCAAAGATTCCTTTACCAGTTGGGTAGAAAATGCCTTAAATTTCAAGAACGATGAGTACAAGATATGCAGAATAACAACTACTTTTTACACGACTGTGGCAAAGCGCAAAAGAGGGTTATGTGTTTGACTTGTATGTATGTGTGTAGTAATTATGTACATATTGTGTACCATGTATGTATGTACGTAGTATGTATGTAAGTCCGATCATATATTCCCTCGTAATTGCTAAACGACTTAACCGATTTTGATGATTCATACGTCGTTCGCTTCGTCTTGATAATGCGAGTTATGACACTTGAGTGATCTATTTGGGTTTTTATTTTTTATTTTTGTAAATTATTATTTTTTTACATTAATGAAAGTCGGATTGAGAACCGAGAGCTCTGTACATACATATTTTTGTTAATATTAAAACTGTTAACGTAAATATTCACACTCGTTCAATTATAATTAATGTCTTCACTTTTCAATAAGCACTTTAATATCATTGTTAACTCTTGTATGTATATGATTTTTAAGAACAAAATCAACTTGTATGAACTCCTTTAATATTATTTACTTTTTTGTTATGTACTAGCGACTTACCGTCGCTTCGCTCAGATGCGTATCTACGTATGTTTTTTTATTTTTCTGAGTGGAATCCTATAAAATAAAAGTAGCCTATGTTATTCCTTATAACAATAACTATATGCCAGTGAAATTACTGTCAAAAAGGGTTCAGCCATTTTGGAGATTAGCTGAACAAACAAACAGACAGACAGACAAAAATTAATAAATATTGTATTTTTCTTATATGTATCGTATAATTTTATATGCATTTAGGAAAAAAATATTTTGACATAATAAACAGACACTTCAATTTTATTTATCTATAAAGCTATAAATATCTGCCTTAATAATACTTGTAGTGTAAAAAGTTCACTCGGCTTGATTTGTTGAACCAATAGGCTAACGGTCGGAGTGACAGCGCTAGCTTTAAAAAATTATTTACCTTCCCCACCCAAACGATGTAGTTAGTTCGAAAATCATAAAGAACTGAATCGAAGATATAATTTAACTTGACTGATAGATAATTCATTATATTTACCAAAAATAGATAATATATATAGTTTATATTAAAACTGAACTCATTGATTGTATCAATTTTTAATTTCATTATGTTTATAAATAACCTTCTTTAAACTGATACTTTAAAAATAGAGCTTTGTAGAGTAGACGCAGCAGTAAAAATTAGGCCATTATTTAAGCTTAGGATAGGAATTACACTGGCTAACTTAATCTATCCCCCGGGGGCTATATCGCTAACCAGGACATAATGTGGTGTTAGACTTAATACAAACCGTTAAACTTATATCTTTGGTAATAACTGATTAGATTTATATGTAAAACTATATTTTAGTCAATATTTAAAAAGCTCACGTGATACGTCTATGGGTGAGAAGTGGACTTAATTAATGCAGGCAGGATATAACCTTTTTTTATTCATTTTTTTTAAATGCGATAATGAAATTATTGCTTAGTAGTTTATATTATAAGTTTTGTGTGTTAAAATAAATTGAAATGTGCAGAAATCAACTTTTTGAAACAAGATATTTGTTTTAGAATTAAATATAGATTAATGATTGTAACGTTCATAAAAACGTAAATGTAAAAAGAAACCAAGTTCAGCACGAATGCGTCAGAATAAATACATAATTCTGATCACATTCATAAAATTTGCATTATATTTTAAACTGAAGATTTTTTTTTATTAAAAGTTTCGTCTTAAAATCTTACAAGGAAATGTAAGAAGATATAGGATATATTATTTTGAAGTAAAGAAAACCGATATGAGAACAATGGATTGATATTGAAAAATACTTTTTGAATTCGAATTGAGTACTTCCTCTTATTTTTAAATCGGTCAAAATAGTAATTAAAACAGTTGGGTTAAAAATGTAATATAAAAATGTACAGCAGCGTGTGACACTCGGCTCTTCACATAATAATATAACAGAAATAATGAATTCTTACTTATTATGATTCATGCATGAATTTCAATGGAACATCAATTAAAATTCAAGAACATATTCATGGAAGAGTTGTACTGAAGAATCAATGTATGAAGAGATTAATTATATATTACACATATATGTATTACTTTAGTAAAAAATTATCACATATAATTCTAAAGTTTTCTGACATCATATTATTGGTAAGAAAACAACTATTTTTAAAGAAATGAATTGTCAAAGTTCGTGTAATAGAATATAATCGTTGTCTCTAAGACTAATTCGAAATTTCTTTTGATTAGAAATTGTTTTTGAAATGAAAAGCTTCACAAGATCTAATTAAAATAATTAGTTGATGTAAACCATACTTAGCACTTGCTTTGTTACGTACTTTCGAAAAAAAGAAACCTTAAAGTACCATGTGCCTATTTATCTATACTCTCAATAAAAGTACTCAATTCTTTTCTTCATTTTAAACTGTTTTTATAAGAACTAATACTGTAAAAATGACCCCATATAAATTTCAAGAGAAAATTCTACCTCAAGTTAATTTATAGTGATTTTAAGGCCGGGACACCTTTTTAATTAAAAAGTATTAGAAGAAAATCTCATTCTAAAACTCCGAAGTTATTAGACAAAAAAATTTGAAACTTTTTGTTTTAGTAATGTTGGATTTATAAATAAAACCGTCACTTGACAATATCAAAATATATTTATTTTAAATAAACTATTGTGTTGTGTAAAATAAATGTAATGCAGTGAAATAAATATTATAAGATTTTAAATAAATAAAATTAGGCATTAGTATCTTTATAAAGAGAAAACAAATGCTTGCTTCTGTTACATAATAAACAAGATACTCAACAAGTAGTTGTAAGAGATAGAAGTATGATGAAGCGCAGTCGCCTTTCGGATTCTTAAGGACAAAGTAAATATAAAAAAATGTTTAATGCTTTGCGAGCAAAAGTAGGTTAAAGGCTGCTATAATATTTTATAACGTTTTTATTGCACTCATTTTGCTACATGTTGAATAAAACTCAAAAATAAATATTTATTAATAAATCTCATACGTTTGAGGTGCATATGAAAAAAATATTGATGTATATTGAAGTGAAACTTCTTTAGAATCGTTCTGATTTGAAAATCGATCGATCGATCGACAAAGAGAAAAACACATAAATATATAAGGATTAAGCCAGCGAGAGAAAGAGATTGAGAACACAAGACATTAAATAAATTCTAACATAATTTTTAGACTTGGTTAAAATATTATAAATAGAAAAAAATTACAATTACCCTACTCTTGATACCCTACATTTATCTCATTCTTTCGTAGGTTACTTTTTCGAAGTTTCACTTCTACCATGTGTGAATTTCAGACACTTTTTGTAATTGCCACAGCCAGTAAAATTATAACTAAAAAACCAAAATAGCTCTCGTTTCAATTTGTCATTGCAAAGTGAGCAGGCACTCTGGAAGTGTTAAAGTTAATTTCAAATAAACTTCGCATAAAAGCACATAATTTTTAAAAAAAGTTAGTGTAATAAATATACTCATCATTTCATAGTAAAGTGTACACATTTTGTGCAAAGTAATGAACTAACTTTTTCATTTATAAAAAGTTTGTATGTGTGTGTCTATGTTAGTTACACCTTAAACAGCTGGATGGATTTTAATAAAATTTAGTACACAGATAGACTATTACCTAAAGTAAAGTATAGGCTACTGCTAGTAGTAAAATTTACCAAAAGGTGGCACTGCTTAGATATAATATCTATACAGATAAATAAAATTGAAGTGTCTGTTTGTAATGACAAAGTTACAGCTCTGTACTAAATTCATATGGAATTATATACGGTATTTATAAGAAAAAAACTCAATTTTTTAAATTTTTGTTTGTCTGTTTCTTTGTTCCGGCTAATCTCCGAAACGGCCGGGCCGATTTTGAGGGACTTTCACTGGCAGGTAGTTGACATTATAAGGAGTAACTTAGGCTACTTTTATTTCAGTAAAAGAATTAGGATTCCACTCAAAAAAATTAAAATGTACCTAGGGACAAAACCAAGCGAAGCGAGGGTGAGTCGCTAGTTATAAATGCAAACGGCATCCAGGGATACATCCGAACAAAGAGTGCATAAGCAGTGACTTATACTAATGAGTATTAAATAATTTCACTATAAAAAAATATGTGCTAAGTTAATAGAGATAAAATAATAGCGTAAAGTAGAAACATTGAGTTTCTAAACCAAAACCTGATATATTGATATAAAGAAAGCAAGAACGCAGTCATACGTGTAGTCCCTCCATGACCGCGGACACCCCGAGGTGTCAGTTAACAATAGATTTTTTAGAATTTTAATTAATTTCTTAGAAATTTACCTGGAGGCGGTAGACGAACGTGTTGTATATACTCTCCAATGCCCAAGGATATACCACTTTACTTCGTCGCTATCGTCGCAGACAACTCGGTAGTAATGGCATAAAATAAAAATGATACAATTGTTCCAGTTTCGACGTCCGCGGGCGATCTTTCAACAAGGCTCTGCAGTGGTCTGACCCGAATGTTTTCGGTCCCCGTGCGTACTTCGCAACTGTCGCTCGTCCCGCTTCCCTCACACTTGACACCGTTCAGTTGGATGATGAAGGCGTATACCGGTGCAGAGTGGACTTCAAGAACTCACCGACACGTAACTTTCAAATCCGATTATCTGTTATAGGTAAGTAGTATTGAGTACATTCAGTTAATACTTTCTTAAGATTTACGCGAATATTTGACATTGTAAATAAAACTATCTTTTCAGATTATTTCGGATTTGGTTTTGATCACGAAGAGGCTAAGGTCATAGACGTCTCAAACACATACTTGTCACAGGCAGTGCCTACCCACTATTTTACAAAAATGATTTAAAAAATTCAAAAAATTACAAAAAGGTACCTTATGGTACAATATTTTTTGTGTAATATGTATAATTATAAGAGCTAAAATTAAATAAATAATATTTCTGTATTTAATTATAATACTCATTAGGTTTATTTAAATGCTATGAAATAAAAATCAAAAAAATTTGAAAGGTACCTACTTTATTGCCATTTTTTGAATTTTTGAAATCATTTTTTGTAAAATAGTGGGTAGGCCCTAACTGTAACGAGTATGTGTTTGAGACGTCTATAACCTTAGTCTCTCCAGTGATCATGATTGCTGTAAAAATACATCCAGTTAGTTTTAAGATGTCTATTCGAATGTAATTCGCAAATGCCGCAATAAACTATTATATCTACAATTATTGCGTTGCAAATAAACTAAATAATGTATTGAGGCAGCTTAATATTAAATCGTTAAGTCACACTTTGTCAATTTAAATGCTCTCCTAACGATGTCGATAATAGAAAGTCAGTCAATTTGTCTGTATATAATCAGGTTAGAAAGGTTTTTGTTTGCTATACAAGAGTTTGGAGAGCTTAAGTTGAATTGCTTAAGCCCTCCAAACTCTATGCATTTAGGATCTATTCGAAGTATTAAAGTTTGTAAATGAGTGAGCCAGTGTGTGAGTGCTTGTTACTCGTACATGTTCACGCTGTAAGGGCTTAACGGATTGAGTGAAATAAGGATAATAATTATAATATTGTAAGGTACTTCAATGCCATTTCTCTTTTATTACCAAACAAACTTTTCTCGCAGTTTTGCTGACGTAGTCCATTTATATGTAACTGTTTCGATCCTAAAATCTGGCTATTGAATGCTAAACAAATTTTTAAATCCGATTACTATTTTTAAAGATTAGCACGTTTAAATAAAATATCAGAAACAAAAGTAAAAAAAAACAAATTATCCGAAAAAATAGTTTTGATTTAAAATTATAATTTTGGTTCAAGGCAACAACCATTCGATAACTATCACAAGATAAAAGCTATCGGCATATACAATAGGATAACTGTAATATATAATTATGTAGTTGATTTGATTCCTACATCACGTATTGCTAAATAAAAATGTTTTTTTTTAATTAAAAAGGGTACATAAATTATGTTTTATCCATGGTAAGTTAATTAAAAAAAAAATATTTTGCAAAGGTATGGTAACATTTAATCCTTTTTCATGTAGTTATGATGGTAGAAAAACTTAATGATAATAAAAGTTAACGTCGATACAGCGATAGCTATATAGTGATAACTAAATATATCCTCGTATAGAGGACTAGCAATGCCCGCGGCTCCACCCGCTTTCAGATGATCAAAAACCAAATTCTTAGGTTTTACATATTAGTATATTCTTACATTGCAGTTTTGTATTTTTTCTTAGAAATCAGATATTTTCCCGCGATAAAAAGTATCCTATATGTTGACCCGGATAACCAGCTTTCATCAAAATCCATACCATACCAAATTTCATCAAAATCACTGCAATGGTTTTTTCGTGATGCGATAACAAACAGACAGACAGACAAAAATTCTAAAAACTATAGATTCGGCCTCTGTATGGATAATAATATCTATTTAAATAAGATTTTCTAAAAAATATTTCATGTACAGATTTGGCTTAGTTACAATTTTATTATATGTATAGATATCTTGGCCTGACAAAGAAAAAGCTTTCGTCGCTCATCTAATTTATAGTTTTGTTAACATCAAAAGATAGAAAAAGTGAAATGTTAGTCTCTCTGTCTTACTTACTTGCAAGTAAATTAAAACGTCTGTAGAAAAGTGAATAGTAAATTTAAATATTCCACTTTTCAAGTCGGTTCGAAATGAAAATAAAACCCGTTAAAGTCAATTTGGAAATAGTAACGTAACTATTATATTAGGTTTATTGTTACTATCGGTGAATTTTATTACTTAATGGCACACGCAAGACTTTTATATACTTAGAACTTTATTTCCTTTTCTATGATCAGATTGGGGTCCCTTATAGCAAAATATAATATTACCTAAAATAGTCGGATATAATTATTTCATGAAAACATGTTAATTTAACATTTATGTGATTTTTATTTCAAAAACCGTAGGAAAGTTAAATCATTCGGATAATTTGTAATTTCTTTATACATAATACCTATATTTAACTAATTTCCTTCTGGTTGGTATTTACTTCCTCTGAGAGTCGTGTGGAATGACCTAAAGGTCATTATGTACCACTTAAGTAGGTGCTCTCCATGGCACTAGAATTTGACCAATAAACTACATATACTCTAACTATATCTAAACTAGACAGTAGATCAACAAAGTAGTAAATTCATATATTGTTAAGGCAAGAGCCTCGCCTTTATAAAGGATTTTTAGAAAAGAAATTAAGAATAAAGTTATTTTATGTTTTATATACCTCTAAGTACATAATATATAAAATAATTGTAATACTATTTCTACCAATAATAAGCATCTTATGCTAAAAAAGTTCAATAATACAAGTAATATCTTATAAAGTCAGTAATACATAAATAATTCCGTAATCCCTGAACAATATCAACTTTACAAAACATACATTTAGATGTTCGGCATTTTCGGTCTATCTCGTCCCACAACATTAGTCTACCCTTGCTCAGATAATTCGAATACATATTAAATGTACCGTGAAGGGTCGCCCGCCTATAAAAAAGGTCACTAAACGTACCAAAATCGTTATAATTTAACATCTCATAATTGCATTTTTATATAAAGGATTCGCTTATAACTTACCATGAAACGACCCTCGAAAACTAGAATGGGAATTGTACCATCTGCTCACATTCCCACAGAAAAACTTTAACTCAGAACGTTTCACCCTATGCTGAGAATTTATAGGGGAGCCTTATCTAAAAAGCCAGCCTTTCAGAGGTTTTCTTCGAGCGAGCGATGCAAAACAAAGCTTTGTAAGACCTCCTTTGAATTTCGGTAAGGAAAATGAGAGGTTACACACGACCGTTGCCTCGTCAAAGAAGCCTCAGAACACTCTTATTACAATAATGTACAGCGATATCACGTTTGGAGAGCTTCCATCAGATGAGAACTAATTTAGAAATTCGCTTCGACTAACAGAATCGCTAAGATTGCCGGAATTCACTTTACGAGTTCAAAACGTTTTAACGCTCGTTATAATTGGCGAAAGTAAAGCAATTTAAATGAGCACAGTATTTTCGACTAGCTTTTGCCTGCTGTTCTGTTTGCCTAAATAGCCTATAATATGTATGTATGTATGTCCCGCATTACAATCTATTCACTGGATACAGACAAATAGACAAATAATTAATATATTAGTAATAATTATAATCGGAGCTTTGATATCATAACCATATCATAATAATCATGTTTAGTAATAATTCAGTCATTTTTAATTTCCTACTATGAGTATATAGATTGGTAGACATCACATATCTTTCGAAAATTAGTTAAAATTTTTCGAACATGCAGGTTTTGTAATGATTACTTTCACCAATTATACTTATTTGCAAAAATTGTATTAACATCACAAAGATAATATACGTCTTCATAGATATTATATATAACAACAATGTGTTGATCAAGCCTGTTATATTTTCTTGTTTATTTGAACATGATAACAACAAACGAAAATTAGGATACATATTTCAATACGAGGGTTTATTTAAAAATTTATATCCCTTTATTAAAATGGGCTTTGAAAATTAGGTTAAAGAGCTTAAAACTTTATTTAACTTTTCTAATTAGAAGTGGCTAAATTGATGTCAATATATACTTTAAAATTGTTCATTAGCTTCAAAATTGTATATTGAATTATGTAATTATAGTAATTATTTTATCAAAATATATTTATATACAGTTGTGGGTAATTAACCAAAGAGGTGCAACATTCATTAAATTCCACTATAAAAACTTCCACTATAAAAAAAACTGACTTTCAGGCACTAAAATGCAAAATATAACTAGTACCTAATCAGATAATATGTTCGAAGTCGATACCATGGCTAACGCTGGCTAATAACTATTTATATCTAATTGAAGTGTATCGGAACTGTAGTTTTAAATAAAACTATTTTTTCGAATTTTTTTTACTTAGTTTGATTTTTGTTTTGGAACGAAAGCAAAACTCTAAATAAATCCGCCAAAAAGTCCAAAGATCATATAGATTCATTTAAAAAAGAAAGATTCAATAGAGTCATTTAAAAAAGATTATATTCAATGTCGTGTTTTGTAATAATAAAAGTTAATCTAATTTACAAGATATTTCCTCTTTCTTCTGTTACGTAGCATGCTGCAACATATGTGATTTTTTACATAGAGCTAGTTTATCAGAAAATTTATGCCGATTTGGTTGCCGTAGCATATTTTGAAAAGCTACTAAAAGACGCGTAGATTTTCGCCTTAACCTAATTTTGTTAAGGGCTTATCTACAGCCGCTATCAGAACGAGACTGGTTCTTTAGTCATAATATAATATTAATTATTAATATGCATAATATAACACGAATATATACAACTAGCAGAACTCGCGGCTTCGCTCGCGCTAAAAATACAAAAAGGCAGTGGTAGCCCAGTGGTAACGCTCGCGCTAAAAATACAAAAAGACTCTAAAAAGTGGGTTTCATAAAAACTTTCATCCCTATTTTAGCCTCTTTGGGGTTAAATTTTAGAAAAAGCTGAAATACCTAACTCATTATTTTTGCCGTACTCAATTCATACGAAATATCATACGAAATTTCATGCAAATAATAATATGTCTAAGGTATAAAAAGTTTCATACAAACTTTTATCCCCTATTTCACCCTCTT